AGTAGTGAAATGCGAGGTCCCTACACAGTTAAATCTGTATTTATCTCTTCAGGTAGCCACCCCATGACACGTGACACGAATGTAATTTGTTTTGTTTCCGGCAGCTTGAAGATCATGAGTATAAACCTTTAGATCCTAAAGATATACGTCTTCCACCCCCAATGCCCCCCAGTGAGAGACTACTGGCTGCGGTTGAGGCATTTTATAGTCCACCATCTCATGACAGGCCTAGAAACAGGTAAGAGTAGGTATAGCTAACAATATGGTAAGGAAAATGCCCTGAGAAGCTGTCTCAAACCACGAAGTGCCTCTCTCTTCCTTCGCCTGTGTCTTGGTTCTTCTAATGCTGAAATGAGTGCTCTTGTTGTGTTTTAAACTGCACACGCTGTTTGATCTTACACGGAGATTTGCGAGGCCTTTTTGCCCAGGCCCTTTGTCCCCTACAAAACCCAGCGGAAATCCTGAATGTCTCTGCTTGATCAAAGTAGAATTTTACAGATGTCGGTTCTATGTGTGGTTGATTTATTGCAGTGAAGGCTGGGAGCAGAATGGACTGTACGAATTCTTCAGAGCTAAAATGAGAGCGAGGCGGAGGAAAGGTCAGGAGAAGAGAAATAGGTGAGAGATTCCGTCTGCTGCCTTGTGATGCATGATGTTCATTTGGAAGGTGCTCGGAATACCTTGGGCTAAAGGCAGAGGGAAGGTCTGTTCAGTATTCACCTGAGCTTCAACTCGCTGGAGTTTCTCGAATCTGCAGAAAATAGTGTTTGCCCCACTCCAGTTTTCACTGGCTTGTCTGCAGAAGTAGAGTGCTTGCGTGTAATGGGAATTTGATCAGCAGTATATTTGTGTTTCTTAGGCTTCTCCCAGGAGTTTCACTGGAGTTTCTCTGCTTTTATCTGTGCAGTGGGCCTTCTCGGTCTCGCAGTCGGTCTAAAAGCCGAGGTCGCTCATCCTCCCGGTCTAATTCGCGATCTTCAAAATCATCTGGCTCCTATTCGAGGTCACGATCTCGCTCTTGCTCTCGATCACGATCCTATTCGCGCTCTCAGTCCAGGTAGAGTGCCGTGGGCTGAATCTTGGGTGGGGTGGGAAACCCCAGCCCTCGGGGCTGAGTGGGGAACGCTGGTTGTTGCACTGGTAACTGGTGCGTCTGGTCTCGTGTGCTCTCCCTTGCCAGAAGCCGGAGCAGGTCCCGCTCCTCTCATAGCCGCTCGCGGTCACGGTCGCGGTCACGATCGAAGTCGTACTCACCAGGAAGGCGGCGCCGGTCCCGGTCTCGCAGCCCCACTCCTCCGTAAGCTTTTGTTTGTTTGCTTCGCTTTTTACCTGCGTTGTTTGGAAAAGTACCAACCAGGGCACTTTCCTGTTAGCTGGGCGTCAGCCTTCCAGCAAATAGTAGAAAAGAAGACGGAAAGCAGATTTAGAAACACTTATGTGCTGCAAGTGCTTATAGAGAGAATATTACTGTTGTGGTGGCTTTGTGTGGTAACAAAACCCCGTGCAGCCATGAAGGCTTTGTGTTTGTGTGTGCCTTCTGAGGAGGCAGGAGGAATCCTCCGAGCGCTCTCTGTGCCGGTAGGGAGATCGTAGTGTTTGATTTCCCTTGCACTGAGATGTTTCTGGCACCTTTGGGACTCCATAATCCGACAGCTTTATAAAAGGAGTGGATGGGACCGTATAGGGGGGTTTCATGTTTAACAGGATATGGGTGACCTTGCTTTGTGTCAGAACAGGATCACTCGTTCTTCCTTTGTGCTGTTTATGTCCTTAGTTCTTCTGCTGGTTTGGGCTCCAGTTCTGGGCCTCCTATACCAGAATCGAGACTTGGAGAAGAAAACAAAGGCCATCAAATGCTAGTGAAAATGGGTAAGAGGCTGTTCTGGAGTCTTACACAAGCTGGGAAACAAAATCAGGCACCAAACTCTTGGATACAATTAATTAATGCACGTTCATAAGTCATTATCCCACGGTGTTCCAAGGTCAGCGTAAGGTATTCAGAGACAGAAGCGTAGAGCACACGGAGCAGTGGTGGTCGCTGCCGTTCTGGGGAGGGGGTGGAAAGCAGGGACGTGAGTTTGGCACCAAACAGAACTCCCCTACCCAGGGTGTTTCATCTCCCTAGTGTCGATCGGCAGGGTCGGCTGGATGGATTGGGCCGGTGCTGTCTTTCCCCTTGCCCTCTTCAAAGTTTTTAGGGATAGTGCTGATGTTTGTCAGCTCCCAGAATCTCTCCACATTAATGCTCTTGAAATGAGTGGGACGGTTCCTGTGTTTCAGGCCGTCTGTTACCATCCCGCCATGTCAAACTGACGCCGCCTTTGGTTGTTTCTGAAATGTCTACGCTTGTCTGTCTGCAGACTTGGGGTAATAAAACAGTTACAGGGTTGCAATGTTGGGCCCTTTCTGCAGGGTGGAGTGGATCTGGTGGATTGGGAGCCAAGGAGCAAGGAATTCAGGATCCGATTAAAGGAGGCGATATCCGAGACAAATGGGATCAATATAAAGGAGTGGGAGTTGCATTAGATGACCCTTACGAAAACTACCGAAGAAATAAAAGTTACTCGTTTATCGCACGCATGAAGGCCAGAGATGAATGTAAGTGGATGTTTCTAAGCCATTTCAAAAGCTGTGCAGACCCAGTAGCCATTTTGTCCTGTTTACTGTAGACTGTAAACCCAAATCAAAAGGCTAGTAACTCTTCCTTCTTTCTAATGCGACGGGTACAACAAACCAAGAGGTAAGTAGACACATACTGTGGTTAACGCAGCAGCTTTTCCTTTTTAGGTGTTGTGTTGTATTCTGATTTCTGAAACGTTAATTAACGAGCCTGTCCTGTGTCAGCCCCTTCCCAAAGCCGCATCTTTGAGGGTTCCCCTTCAAAAAACAGGAGCGATCCCAAAGGTAGTGGAGGGAGCCCACGCCGCAGGAGGGGTGGCTGCCAGAGCAGGGAGGGCTTTGTGCTTGGAACGAGCGAGACCAGGCGTAGTGTTTGGCCCTGCCCAGCTCTCCAGTTTCCTCCGATGAGCGCCACGTTCTGCCAAAGCCAGAGCTGGCCGTAGCGCAGGAAGGGTTCAGAGAAGTGGAGGTGCTAATGAAGGCAGTTACCCACGTGGTGGATTTTTGCAGAGAGTCTGTGCCGCATGGAACAACTGCGCTAGCCAAGGACTAAAAGGAAAAAACGGGCATGCGAAAGGAGCGGTCGCTTCTGCCTGTGGCCGCAGTAGATCCGTGTAGTCACGTGGGTTCGAATAAAGCCCCAAAGGAAAAACTCCTTATTAATCGAGCCCTCATTCCATGAAACATCTCAGACAGCTTAGGTAACTGCAGAATGTGTAAGAACTCTTTTCCCTATTGTTTCAGTGAAGCGTGAAACGCAAGACCCTCCACCACCCGAATAAGACTTTCTCTGAAGAAAGATGTCTTGCATCTTCTACAAAACACTAAACTTGTATAAATCCGGATTAAAGTCTGGAGGAAGTGACAAGTGAATAACTTTTAAAACTATGGTGAAAAATGGAAAGCTATGACATGTTCTTCAACACTTGTCGTTTAGTGTTTAAAAAAGGCCAGTCGTTACTATGACATGTCTAGCAAGTCTTAAGAATTTCCATTTATTTTGCAAAATTTTTTTAATTAGTTACCCATTTTATACTAGAATTAACCCCCCCGTCCAGCTGTCCCTGGTGCAGGATTGTGATTCATTCATTCCTGTGGAATACAGACGTTATCTGATATGGTTGTATGTACTCTAGTTCCATAATGTATGTTTATTTCTCTCAAAAGGTTAATTCTATTTGAAGTGGAGGGGTGCTGCCTTGGGATCAAGTCAGACTGATGCTGAGCAGTGTATCCTAATGTCTAAATGGGGAATGAAGCATCTAGTTCCAGTACAGGTGACCTATGAGCACTGTGCAAGCTTGTTAGAACCTACCCTACAACTTAACGCCCCTACACACCAGCTGCTGCAGTCCCAACTCTGGTCAGCACACGAGGGTTAACTGTGCTAGCTTTTCACGCGCTCGAAGGGATGTTCAATGCTTTGTAATGGAAGACATTCTTTAAGCTTTTTATATTTTTGTATATACCCTTTAATAAAAGCTAATTAGTTCAATAGAAGAGAATCGGTTTTCTCTGCTCTGCAGGTTTCTAACAATGAAACGTTCTTGGAAACTTCCTTGAATCTAAATGAGTAAACAAACAAACAAATACAACCTTTTGTAACTGTTTCCAGAGACCACCAGCTAAAGATGTTAGGCCCTTGCACTGCACTTCCACTCCAGAGGTCTGCGTGGTGGTAACCTCTTCCAGAGTCACTTGTTTGTATAGCAGAAACCCTCTTAAAACCATTCAGTTAATATGGTGAAATATCAGTTTGTTCTAGATCTACTGTAGTTGTGGAACTGTAACTGTCTGTGAATCAGCATACACCACCTGTATGTTATCAACTTGTGAATTTTATTGTTTTGCCTTCCAATAAACACCTTTTTTTTAATAAAAATAAAATGGTGGCTCCTATTTCAGAGTAAAGGGATTCCTGTGCGTTGGCTCCAAGCCTTCCTTGTGTTGAGTTCATCTTTACTGCACCACCAACTGCAGGCAGTTACCTGACAGGGCTAATGACACATAAGCACTGGTTCAACATGGCGCTCCAGTTGGGCTGTGGCCTCTTTCTGCTGTGACCAGATTGCTGGGGTGCTCTAGGACGGGCTTCCACGTCCACCGTGATCACAGCTCACGCAAACACACACAGGGCGATCACTTCCCACACGCCCTTTAGGAGTTTTCTCTTGGGTTCTTTTTTGTTGAACACTGACATAGTCTGGCTGAAGGTTCCTGCCCCTCCCTGCTCGTGAATTTAGTAAAAAAATTCAGATATAGGAAAATAAATTATGTATAATAAGATAAATAGCGGTTAGTACAAGTCCTTCTAATACGTAGCTTATAACTATCTGTGCAATGTGGAAGGGCTCTTGTTCCAGCTTGAGATCCTAAAAGAGTCAAAGCAGTTTTTCCACCTGTGCTTTCCGGATTTCTTCACGTGCTTGCTCGAGTGTTAGAGGTGGGGGTTTGTGATGCTTGATGTACTAAAAAAAAAAAGTTAAATGTACAAATTTATTATGTAGATAAATACTACCTCATATTTAATAAATAAGAAAATTCATGTCAAGATACCTGCGCGTTTCTGTACTAGCAACGGAAACTGATCCTTCTGGTGCAGCATTAGGGAGATCCTTGCTCGTTGGAGGAGAGCTAGATGCTACAGCAGAAAGCGTATTCTCTCAAAACTTTGACCTCCAGTAAGCCTTTAGTCTTCCTTTACTGGATAAACGCCTGCCTTGCTATTGCTATGGGCACAAGCATTACAGTATTCTTCTTCTAGGAAGTAATTTATTCAACAGGAATCTGAGCTTTATCTGATTAATGAATAATATGCACAGAAAATCTGTTTGCTGCAGCTACCAGAAACATTTGGAAAGGAACATGCACTTCTCTAGGCTGCTGTCTAGTCTAGCATAAATACCTCTTTAGCCTCTTCCAGGGTGTGGTAGTGGAACTTCTCGTTCTCTAATGACTCCACAAGGGATAAGTGAAGGTGGTGAATGTTCTCTACAAACTGCTGAGTCAACATCACCTGCTGCTTCAACATGGCGTTTAAAACGAGCACGGCGGGGCGGTACGCTGTCAAGGCTGCAAGGAACGGAGGCCAGATCCTGTAGTGACGCCTGAGGCTCAGCCAGGGCTGAACAGCCCGAGCAGGGGGAGAGGCGTGAAACAGAGCCGCGAGAGCCGCGTTTCTCCGTACCTTCTACAGCATCCGCGCTGATGACGTGACGGGCGACAGGTACTGGGTCGATGTGACTGGTCCCTGCGGGCGGGTCAAGGACCGCCAGGGTGTGCGCTGTGTGCGGGAGAAAAGGCAAGTTACTGGGTCTGGGGGAAGGTTTAGCGCTCGAACTCGCTTCACCTTCAGCCCCCTCTGGGACATCAGTTGCCGTAGCACCGCTGTAGGGCCTAACGGGGGATTCCGTCAGCCAAAAAAAAGGCCAACCTCGTTCTGTGACCTCCAGTGTCCTTCCTCTTGGGTTCACAAGATGGGCCCTTGCGGAAGTAATCTTTTCCAACCCCAGACAGTAAAAATAAAGGCTTTTGTACTTGAAGGAAGCTACTCTTTTCAAGCACACCTGGGTTTCTATTTTCTCCTTGAGTGTGGCAAGAAGTGGCTCTTACCCCTTCTTAAGTAAAGGGAGGGAGGAAAGGAGCTACCCCTCGCCCAGAAGCAGTTAAAGGTCACGTCTGTCTTTTGGAAATGGGGCCATTAGTGCTTTCCCCAGGAAACAAACCCAATGCAAAAGAACTCTACGACGGGTGATCACTCTAGTAATGATACAACAGTACTGTCTACAGGAGGAAAGACACAATAAAATGTTGAATTCCGTTTGAGAGCATCATTCGGGCTGTTGCAAGCTCTGTCACTAACACAAGCTCATCCATCCAGGGTTCCTGTTGGGTTTTTATAGAGGAAAAAACAGTTCCAAGCTCTGTTGTCCAATCCCCATCTTTTCTACAGAGAGCAGACTAGTGTTGGGCTTTAGAGCGTTTTTCATTTAACATCAGCTGGGGGGAGCTAGCTCTGAAACAAAGAACTCTCTCAAGGCTGACTAGGCTAGCACCTAAGATACAAAAATGGAAAAATGCCCTGAACAGGGCAATATCTCATGAACTTACTCTTTGGCCAGCAATAGGTGAATGGAGGATCCACTGTCTGAGCCGCAGTGTCTTTGACAGTCACTCTGTGTACCCGGTCACGCCGCTCTCTGGTAAATAAAGGTGATGAGGCTGAAGATGTGTGATTTCCAGAATACGTGCAGCGCTCTGAATGTTTCCCTGATGTTTTTGATCCAGACTCCTTGTCTGTTGTAGACAGAGACTCTTCGAAGTCTTCAGAATATTCTGAATTAACAGTTCTCTCATCATGGTCAAGATAATCCTGTTTGTGTCTAGGAAAATCTGCAGAAACTCCACTTAAATGCTCAGAGATTTCAGTTTCAGACACAGTTTTTTCAGTATGCCCTTCAGAAGCATCACTCACACCAGTTACTGCACTTGTCATTTTAAGAGAAGTTTGATCTTTTTCCACCAGGAATGTATCTTTTTTTAGATTTCTGTTTGTTTCTTGAGTAATTTGAACGTCTGTCCCCTGTAAAACAAAAAGCTGTATGTTAGGAGAATCAACAAAATACAACCTACAACATACCACCGTTATTCTCCACTGTTCTGCTGCCTATCACAGGGTTAGCTCCTGCTTTATTAAGAAATAAGAACGTGGCTCTTTTGTGTCCCCTTGCAAACTGCACAGTGCAGTTACTGTTAGTAAGGAAATGCAGACACTAAAAATAAAAAGAATTTGGTCAGGTGTCGGTAGACTGTAAAATCCTGACCTAATCCTTACAGCTGGCGAGACGGGCCCACCTCAGACAGCCTGTGGGTAGAACAGAAGCATTTATCTTGGAATATCCACCCTCCACCAACAAAGGCAGAATGGAAATAGGTGCTAGGAGGGAAATTCTACTTACTTTCGGCTTTAATTCTGCTGCCCCACTGATGATAATTGGTGCCAAATCATCAAGGCTCAGGATATTCAGCTTGAAGTCTGCAATCCAAAGACAAATCATCATGAGAATTTACATGAAAATTACTGGAGAATTTCGCCTAAGCGAGAAAAGTGGAAAAAAAATCAACCAGTACTACATTCCTCAGTTAACGTGCAACGCTAAGAAGTCGATCACTCTAAACCTTTAACTTAGCAGCAGCTCTTCCTGAATTCCCTCCTTCGCTGTCGGTGGATCTGCTAACCCAAGAGATCGTCGCTGCCCCTCATTTCCACTCGCTCTCCCTCAGACCCATTAGTACATTGTCCCTGTGAGATACAACAACTATTCTAAATGTTGTAACTGTTTCAACCTCATAACTGTCACCCAGGGAAGCATCATTAAACTGAACCTGTTAAATCAAAAGCCAAGAAAAACACAACCATATTACACTGGAAAAAAGAACCAAACAGACCAACATAATTCCTTTGATGAAGTCTTACTTTATGTAAAATTACACCAGTGAATCCTTTCAAACTGAGTATTTGCCCATGTTTATTAGCAAATTTATCAGGGGATTATTAGTGTAATTCATGCCAAGTCTACTGAGACAATATTTTAGAACTTACCATTCGAGCTGCTGTTCGTTGAATCTTCTGCATCAGCTGCTTTTGAAAACAATTCATCTAATGATTTTATTTCACTGCCGTCACTCTCAAGTGATGTTTGCCTTTGCTTGGTGTTGCCTGTTCGAGGCAGAGTAATCTTTACAGTATTGTCTTTCACGGAAGAAGACGGCGATTGAGATCTCACATTACATTGTACTGACAGGTTTCTGCTGGCTGGTGGAGGTGTTGGGAAGTTAACTCTACCAAAAACATTTTCCTTCGAGTCGTTGCTACGAAAAGAAGATGCTTTAGATACCTCTGCCAGTGACATTTCCTCATGAGACAGCGGAGG